ATCTATAAAAACCCTTAACTTATCTCAGTATGCTGCACTATCTTGAAAAAGCAGGCGAAAAACCGAGTGGGCGTGTCTTGTAGTCTGGCAGGACTCAGACGTCTGATAAGTTCGGCTCAGCGTAGCCATGAAAGCTAAGAGCTCCACTTACTGTATCATTAATAATTCAAATAAAATGAAGGGTTATGTTCATATAGGCTTAGTAACATGTTAACGGCCGTGTTTAAACATGTTTTGTTCCAAACGGTCTTCAATAGTGATGAATATTAATGAGCTTTTCCCGCGTATCCTACAAAAAGAGTGTCACTCTCCTGTGTAGGAGTTCACATAAGAAGTAAACAAGGGAGAGGGAGGGGCGAGAGAGCGGAAGAGAAGGGCGTTTGGGGAGAGCAGAGGTGGCGCAGCAGAAAACTCAGTGGCTTCATGTTGGAGCTAAAAGTTTCCCCACACGGTAAACAAATGAAAGCTTTTGACTTCATCTCCCTCCTTCCTTCCCACAATGCTCCTGTGCATAATCCCACTGCACTGCAGAAATGTAGAGACAGTGAAGTTCACTGATGAGAAAAAGACACAACAAATAAAAGCAGTCTGGCTCTGTTGGGAGTGATGTCACTGTTCTTATGTGATGATGGAATATTTGAGTCGTTCATCATCAGTACATCATTATCATTAGAGTGTCTCTCATTACTGTAGTTTTCCTCTCCTCCATTACTGAAAATAGCCCAGAACACACACAGCAGGAGCTTCTGACACACACTCACACACACTATCGGCCTGTTTGATGAGTCTCTATATCAGTGACTCACAACAAGCAGCAAATAATGAAGAGTCAGCAGCTCTGAAAGACCTGATTACTGAGATCCTCTCATCTCCTTCACTTCCATTCACTTCTTCTAACTCATGTTTGTGTGACAAGTCATTCTGAACTCACCATGTAAGTAGATTGATCTTCTAAATGAGCTCATTATCTGATGTGTTTCTTCAACACTGTGTGACAGATCTACTTACTCACACACTCACCCTCATCATGTCAGCTACAAATAACACAGAGACTCACATAAGAGCTTTTCACTCCCACCACAGTCTACTGTTCTGTCTGGGTGTTCATTAGAGTTTGTGCTGAACATTCATTTTCCTTTTCTACTGTAATTCAGCTGATTCTTTTACTGATCCTCCAAATCACACTGCCCTGCTTTGTAATGGTCAAGGGGAGGTCACACCACACACTGTAAAAAAAATCACTGTAAAAAACAGTAAAATTAAATTAAATTAACGGTATCCTACTGTTGTAAAAATGTACGGTATAATGGCTTATTTTACAAAAAACAGGATATAACTGTAATTTAGTACATTTACAGTATAATGCTGCTAGAAATTAACAGTCCATTACCTTTTTTGATGAGGGGTGCACTAACTTTCCTGACAGGTATGGCTACAGATTTTTTTCTGTACTGATAAAAAACATTATGTTTTTACTGCTTCTTAATCTTTTCAGAAACATAACATGCATGAAAGAGTTCATTATTCCAGTGAACAGTTGACATGGCAATTTAAATCATGTGACTTAAAAAAGAGAAAAAAGCAGAATATCTTGCAGTTTATCTTGTTTTATTGTAAATAAAGTCTTGATGACTCCAGTTTGCAAACCCATGCACATGTTTCACATCAGAAAATGTAATTTCAACAAAGAAAAGCATCTAGGCATGAAAATGAACAGCAAATTAAAATTACCCATATAAAAAATATATATTTTTAAAGCGTGCTGTCTTTGGATGGCATGTCAGCATAAACATGAACTTTGACATCAATCTTTGTACAGCAGTCTACAGCTGTATATTCTGCTTTCCTTCTTTATCCTTCCTTGTTTCTGTCTGTGTCCACCTTTATCTTCCCGTCTGTATCTTGTTCCATGTGCTTTAGATGTTTTGGTCTGTCTCCTCCTCAGTCGTCTGTCCCACCTGGGTGTAGTCTTTAGCCCCACCCTCTTGTTAGCCCCAGGTGTTTCTCAGGTGCTCTTTTGCCTATTATTCCCCTTGGTTTGGTCTGTTCCTTGGTTGGTGTTTTTCGTTTCTTTAGTGCTTTCCTCATTTTTCTTTTGTTTCTGGTTCTTTCTTTGCTACTTTCTCCATGGACAACAATAAAACTGCTAGCCCACACACATATCCTTCCGTCTCATCTCCCAACATGTTACAACAGCTATGACTACTTTTACTTTTTAAGCAGTTACTAGTGTAACTCATTATTAAAACTAAATCCTATTACTAGTAGACTGCCATTGGAGTGCACTTTGAGAGAGTGATGTCACATGGCTGCACTGGACTCAGCACTTCCTTCATTGATTGAGAAATGGCAAGCTAAACGCCTGAAAACAACTAAGAAGGTTGATTGGAAGAGAGCTTGCTGTTTCTCCTTCAATAGACAAGAACCAAATGCAAGGTCTAGTGCAACCATATGAAATCACACTGCAACAATGGGGACTCACTATTAGAGGCATTTTGTCTATATGTTCTAATTAATTTGATTTATTCAACATATTTTAATACTACTGGCCTGGACTAAACTACATAAAAGCTTACAAGTTTCATCAATCATGGTTCCATGTGAAACGGGTGTTAATACCTAACCTTTGAATGAATTTCAGTGTGCATGCAGCTTCTCTTTGGTGCTGAAGATTGATGCTGTATGTTGAAAACACAGAAGCAAGCCTGGTTGAGAAAGCTGGCTGTATGCCATTTACAGATGATGTGTCCCTCACGACTGACCATCCAGCATTCGGTACAGCTCCCCTTTTTCTCACCTGCAAAAAACAAATGAAGAGTTAACCACTGGCAGCAAGGATCGTGCCGTTTTGCTGAAATACAAATTGTTGTTGACTTATGCAGATTCTTTATAAACCCAGCAAGCAGTATCAGCCGAGGAGTTGCCAGTAGGGTGAGCATCCTCTTCATGTCAGCTGCAGTGGCAAACAACTACCAACAGCTAACAGCTGGCAAAAAGTGAGGAGCCTTAAAAGAACCACTGATCTTTTCAGTGGATGTTTTTTTGAAGAATCATTGTTGTAAATGCTATTTGAGTGTGAAGAACCTTTTAACAAACGTCCACATAATGTAAAGGTGTTATAGCAGTTACGACTGTACATCCAAGCCAAGAACCATTTATCTTCATTATGAAGATTGTACCATTAAATGTATATTTATGAAAAATGATCATGATAAACACAGTAACCATGTTAGTCACTCATCAGTAAACTGCTTATTTACTCCAAATATGCCCTGCATGTATAAAAATGAAATAGACTTTACTTTGTTGTTCTAAATCCATTCCAGCCTCTTCCACACTGAACTAAACTGTTTCTTCACTCCATTCAGACTTGAAACACATGCAGTCACATTCAACTCCACTCTGGACACTGAAGCTCTTAAACTGCAGCTTTATTATCAGTTACGAAGTGTATTATTATTAATGCTGTGGTATCCAGGCTGCTATGAAGTTAATATGTAAGTTGTGTAGTAGTGAGCAGAGAGATGAGCTGAAGTGCAGATCACATACCAGTTCCTGCAGTTCAAGGGTTAAAACTCTTTCCTTTTCAGAGAAGAGATTTTGATTAAACAGGATGACTGAGTTCATTTAGCTGTTAACAGATAACAGCACCTCCACCAAAGTGTACAACAGCAACATTAACCAGGTTCAGCACTGACTAATCAATTCCAGATTAAACCAACACTGACATTTTACAATATCAAACAAGTGTTCAAAACCATGATTTAATATAAACCTGATAACATGAACCTGCTGCCCTCCTTAAATTCATAAAAACATCAACAGAAAATGTTCAGAACATGCAGAGATCTTTCAGTGTAGAACAACTGTTTAGCACAATGATTCCAAAATGAAGGATGCTGAGCAGAAATGTTTCCTCCATGTTGGACAGTGTTTATTTCAAACATCCAGCTTAGTTTAAGAGTTATTTCTGTATTTTAAAGGACAATTCCACAATTTTAAATTCTTGAATAACTAAAATGTTGACATATAAACAAAACTCATATTTACTTTTGATATGAAACTGTTCATTTAGAGAAACTTACCAACTCAGATTACAGTGGTGTGACAGGAGAAATATACAGTAAAGTGAATAAAAATGTTCCTACATTAGTGTCAGCGGTGCTCTGCATTAGAAACAAACACTGATAAGACACTGAAAGAGCTTTTATAATGTTATCAGTAACTACAGTGTAATATTCACTGATGCTCTGCTTTTGATTCCACATTTACTTCTATCACTTTGCTGAACATCAACAAAATATTTCAGAGCTTTATTGTGAGTCTGAAAGTGTTGATAAGAGTGATAACAGTAGTGATGTTAGCTGAGCTGTGTTTAACACTCATTAATGCTCTTCTCCCCAAAAGACTGTGTGAAGAACACGGCTGCCTGATGAAGAACCTCCTTCATGATGATGATGAAGGTGTGTGTGAGCCTCTCTCTGAATATTCCTGCTGTAACACTGAGTTTAGTCTAAAGAGACTCCATCAGACTTCCATCAGATTTCTGTATAATGATCATTTGTTGACTTTACATAACAGTTAATAGTCCTTTCTCTTTCTGTTTAATCATCACTTTATTATTACTGAGATATTTTACTGAGATATTTTGAAAGAAAGAAAAAACTGTCACTGTATGAAAATGAACTTCTTACTGAATATGTAGCAGAAACCACATGACATTGTTATCACTGTTATTAATATTGTTTGTTTTTGTTTTAATATTGTCATATACATCATTAGATATCAAGTCAGTTTGGAAACTGTGAACATATTTTATTTACCTGCTTTTTCGTTGGTCACTCTCACAGTTATCTGATCAGATCTGCCCACCTGTCTGTTTCTGATAAATTATATTTGGGAGGATTTGGAAAAGTTGCTGTGCTGGAAATCCTTGAACCAATCTGGCAACCCAGACTGGCGCTCAAAGGCAGTGACTGAATGAAGGTAAAAGTGAAAGTAGTCGCTGCTTCTTCCACTCAGGACGCTGAAGTGGAGAGTCGCATGTGAGATTAGTGGAGAGTTTAAACTCGGTCTTATTTTTAAATGTGGACATATTTCACCAACAGCAGCGATATAACTGTATGAAGAACAGCAAAGGTAAGAGCAGTTAATTGTTTCTCTCTCTCTCTCTCTTTCAGACTGAGTGTGAAAATATCTTCAGAGTAGGATAACCCTTCAATGTTCTGCTCAACCATTTGGTAGAGCACATTTTGAGTCACTATATACGCCAGAAAGTGCCATCTCGACCATTGGGTAGACGTGAATACTTTAAAAATTGTAGGGTCAAAAATAATAATAAAAAAAATACACCAATTGTTTAATTATAGCCCCAAACAAATAAAAAATATGAAAGTCCATATTCTTTTCTTGGTGAGGACATTAAAGGGATAAAGTAGGATATCATGCTAATCAGGATCACTGATCATTGTGAACATCGAACCTGAGTGAAAAAGAAAACAACTATAAAACCAGTACATTATAGAGTTTATATATGGTTATGATTATGAGATCATTTATGTGTTTCTGTATGTAAGTGTGAGGAAATCTCTCTCTCTCTGTCTCTCTCTCTCTCTCTCTCTCTCTCTCTCTCTCTCTCTCTCTGTAGGATTGTATTAGTGTGAATCTGTAGGAGGAGATAAAGAGATAAAAATGGCGGCTGCAAGAAACAGTAAGTTAAACTTCCAGAACCTACAAAAGGTTTTACTGTGAACATCATTAAATAATATTCAATCAGAGAGTTTATTTTATTGTGGAGACACACGAGACACAACTATTAATGTGCGTGTGTGTGTGTGGTGGTTTGTGTTTCTACACAGATGAGTTTAAACTCTTTGGACCCCGTGATGAAGAGCGTCAGTCTCCCTCTGCGGTCACTCTCTCCTGTCACCTGTCTCCTGAAATCAGTGCTGTTGCCATGGAGATCAGGTGGTTTAAGGGGACGGACTGTGTTTGTCTCTATGAGAACGGGCAGGTGACAGAGGGGAGGGCTACGAGGGCAGAGTGAGTCTGTTCACTCAGGAGCTGCAGAGAGGAAACGTCTCCTTACAGATCAGGACTGCAGCCCATCAGATACAGGAGATTATCTGTGTCAGGTCACCCAATGGAGACACAACAGAGGAGTGTACAGTAGAAGTGTGGATGAGTAAGTATTCCAGAAGTTCACTCTACATAAACTCATCATCATCATCAGCGTCTCAGAATGAAAGATGAAGAGACAGAAATGAGAAACACAGATGTTCAGAATGGTGTTGTGTTCAGATAAAGGAGGTAAAACATACAGAGGATAAATGATGTTAATGTGGAGTGAAGGACAGATGGAGCATTTCAGTAGAAAAAACAGTGACTCTGTTTCTCACTCTGACTCTAAACCTCCACATCATGACTGCACAGTGGAAAACTTACAACTGCAGCTGAACTAAAAAAAAAACTTCTATAAGATCAAAAAGAAAATATTTATAGATACATAATAAAAAGTTGGAACATAAAAGTGAAACTGATTAAATATCCAGTGAAATCTACAGACTGCAGTCAGATCATTGATGCAACACTCACAATATACTGTATATTAATTATTAAAATATTATATGTAATGTGTGACGTCACTACAGGCTGCTGACAGCCTCTCACAAAAAATCCTGTTCTAACTAATTAAAGCTGCAGATCCACAAACTATAGACACAAAAAGGGGCGTGTTCAGAGTTGAGCTGCGCATGGTGAGGAGATAAAACCAAAACTGCGCATCTTTATTCACACCTCGTAGTCGTATCTGTGGACTCGCGCACTGTTCAGACTCGTTGCGCGCGGGGCGGAGTTCACCAATAAAGAGGCGGGTCTCAGTTCTCCGATTCAGACCCTGAACTTCAGCTCATTTCTCTTGAGCGATGTCCACTCCCGCCAGGAGCTGTATTAAGTCCAGCGCCCCCGTCTGACCGTTTGATGAAAACACAATATTTCAAACTGAAATTGTATACAAACTAATCGAGACCTATTTTCAATATAAATATCATATAAATTCATGCAAACATTCATAAAACAATAAACATATAGATCTTATCTTAATCTTATAATCTTCTAAAGAGTTTAAGGTGAGGAATGTGAGTGAATGTGATCTCCAGCCTGTAGATCTGGTGATGATGGTGAAGATTCTCTACATCTGTAAAATCACAGCAATACTACAGTTTTACAGCTGAGTTATTTCAAGCCAGCTCAGCTTCAGCCTGACAGGACACATCATGGATTTCCATCAACAAACATTCAAGAAAAAAGCTTCATTTATTTAATGAACTCATGCAAAGTTTTAGTTTGAACTCTAAATCAGTTAAGTATCAAAATGTAATACATAGAATTAACTAATTATTACAAAATTAATTAATATTCTTTATTCCATATTATTCCTATATTCATGAATAATAATAATAATAATAATAATAATAATAATAAGAAGAAGAAGAAGAAGAAGAGTGTAAAGGTGGTGCATTTTATTTCCTGATTGTGATGAGGCCAAAAGTAATCACAGTAATTTTGAATTAATTAAAAATAATTTATTTAGATTTGTTTATATATAGTTTTTATATATAAAAATACATAACAATTTTATACATAAAACTCTAATAAAGAAGCTCTGTGTGAGAAACTGATGGGTCTGTTAGTCGTTCATTTAGAGAGAGTTTATGTGGTTCTTTAGTGAAGAAGTGTTTCTGAAAAAACTCGCTATTTAACGACTTTCTTAAAAACATGTAATGAAGTGATTTTGGGAAACGAACCCAGAATGATCAGCACAGTAAAAAAAGCCTGACCTGCTGCTTGACGGCTCTGATTTGAGCTGTTTTCAGCTCTCAGTTCTCCACATAAACCTGAAAACGTGTTGATGGTGTTTGAGCATTAGGCTCTCCTGAAGCTCCGACTCCTGACTGTTACAATAGAGATTCATCTTTTAGTCTTTCATTCAGTTTATTCATTAGTTTTCCTTCAGCTCATGATCCTCATTCATTCATGAAGCTTCAGAACACAAAACTCTCTTCTTATATTTACCGTTTCTTAATGATTTATTTCATATGTTCCTTCATGATCTGTTCCTGATTGACACTATATTAGTTAATAATAGTTATTATATCAGTTCATCTTTAGTTCATATATCAGTTAATCTTAGTTATTATATGAGTTAATCTGTCTGTTCATTCTGTAAATGTACTTCATCTGATTTTAACTGCTGCAGGAATAAAAACAATTCCTTCTCATTTTTGTTCATCAGTAATGAAGCATAACACATTATTCATTACTCATAATTACCATATTAGTTCATGAGTTGTTGATGCATAATTACTAGTTTACTAAGGAACCTTATTGTAAAGTGTTACCAGTCATTTCTATAAGGGTTGAGTTTCTGCTGTAGGTTTACACACTGTTTAGCTGAACGTCTTCATGGAGTTGTACTGAAAGCACTGAGTGACAGTTCATTAGTGAAGGATGAAGAACTACAGTACAGATGAGAAAAGGAGATTCTGATAAGGAGATAAAGAGTTAAAAAGACTGAAATATTATAACTGTAAAAGTGTTTCTCATGGAGATTTGACTAACTTTGTGTTTCCTTCTGTTTTTATTCCACAGTATGGGGGGTAAGTAAATAACTGTGTTTACTTCTTTCTCTGCTGGTAGTGACTGATTTTATACTCTTATCACATGAACTACATTCAATACAGACATCAAGCAGCTACATAATATTGAGTTTCAGGTAAATTTCACAAGATGAACAAAGTCTCTGATCTCAGAATGAAGCTGACTTCATCTCCCTCCTTCCTTCCCACAATGCTCCTGTGCATAATCCCACTGCACTGCAGAAATGTAGAGACAGTGAAGTTCACTGATGAGAAAAAGACACAACAAATAAAAGCAGTCTGGCTCTGTTGGGAGTGATGTCACTGTTCTTATGTGACGATGGAATATTTGAGTCGTTCATCATCAGTACATCATTATCGTTAGAGTGTCTCTCATTACTGTAGTTTTCCTCTCCTCCATGACTGAAAATAGCCCAGAACACACACAGCAGGAGCTTCTGACACACACTCACACACACTATCTGCCTGTTTGATGAGTCTCTATATCAGTGACTCACAACAAGCAGCAAATAATGAAGAGTCAGCAGCTCTGAAAGACCTGATTACTGAGATCCTCTCATCTCCTTCACTTCCATTCACTTCATTTAAGAATGATCAGCTTCTCTTATTCAGTCTGCAGCTCTCTCTCATCTCCAGCCTGCTCTTCTACTCATGTGCTCCAGTTTAACAGTTCATATTCTCCTCCAATACAAAGCAGCTCCACCTGTGTTCCTTCAGTGTGTGGAGGAGTTCTAGATGGACTGGTGAGGCATCATTTAGTCCACAGTCCTTCTTTACACATGACTTCAAGCTTCACATCTCCAGACTATTTATAGGAGGTGATTAATAGAAGAGGGAGATGTGCACAGCAGACTGAAATAGAGATGATTGTTTGGATTTTGATACAGTGATTCTAAAAGGATACTAATTTCATTATAACACTTAAATATTTTGGTGCTTATTGTCTCTAAAATGTAATGTTCAGTTGTGAATTATAAAACATACACAATGAGCTCTGAGTAGAGTATAAAGTAGTATAAGAGTAGTATAAAGTTTTTCACTGCTGCTCAGTTTATAATCAGCCTCATCCAAACAGAAATCTCATCTAATTAATGTTCTGGAGGTCAAATTCATTCACTAATCAGTTTCTCCTCTCCAGCATTTCCGCGTCCGGGAGGTGAGTTCACTGATTTTTTAATTCAATTAATTTGAGAATAGTTTTATTAATTTGTAATTAGAAAATGATAAAGTAGTTAATGTTATATATTCTGTATTATATAATATTAATATTAGAGTGTTGTTTCTGTATTATCACTGTATTAACTCCCTTATCATGACCCTAACAACTGTTGATTTGTTCAGATGTTCAGTTTTACTCCTGTTATAAAATCCTGCTCTAACTCTCTGCTTTAATCTCTTCTTCCACCTGAGTTTAGATTTTTCAATCAGCTACAATCAGCAGAGTCTCTACTGTTAGTAATATCAGCTCTCAGTGATTCACACTGACACACCAACCATCATCACATCTTCACTCTGTTTTATTCTCTTCTACAGTGTTACTTAGAATAGACAGAAGAGGACTGAAACAAAATGAAGGAATCTCTTCAGCTTATGGGTGACTTTTAAAGGAGATACAAAATAAAACACAATGACAGTTAACCCTGTTAAATTCCAGTGTTGTAATGTGGGCAATTTTCTCAAAACCATCTTTTTTTTCTATAATTAAAAATATTATTTTTAATATGAACCCCATTTCCGGAAAAGTTGGGACATTTTGGAAAATGCAATAAAAACAAGAATCTGTGAAAAATATTGGGACAGAGTCATGTTTATCACTGTGTTACATCACCTTTCCTTTAAACTGTTTAATCATTCAGGAACTGAGGAAACTGTTTGCTGTAATTTTCTGTTGTTGTCAGTATCTGATTCTCTTCTTCATGATGTGCCAAACATTTTCAATAGAGACAAATCTGGACTGCAGGCAGGCCAGTCGAGCACACAGCAGGGTTTTAAAGGGTTAACAATTTTAAATATTGTAAATATTTGTTAAAGAGGGCGGCCGATACTGTAGAACCACTTAAGATGGTCTGGATTCTTAACAATTTGACAGACCTGACTACTATTGGATATTAAACTGTAGAATCATTTCCTCATTCTTGTTGATTCACAGTGAGTGGAGAATCATCTAGTTCAGCCTCTGCAGAGTTAGTTCCTGTATCAGAGCTCAGGCTGGTGCTGCTGGGGAGGACTGGATGTGGGAAGAGAGCAGCAGGAAACACCATCCTGTGCAGAGAAGAGAGGAGCCAGGCTGGAGCAGGACTCTCTCTGCACTGTAAAATTTGAGAAGTTGATCTTACTTAAAGGAATCGAGGAAACTGGTTGCCTTGAAAAATTTAAAGTAAATATTTTTAAGTAAATATAACTATTATTTTCAAGTTACGTTTACTTTATGTCTACCACTTAAGTATACTTAATACAAAGTTGTATTTACTCAGTTTAGTTGAGTTGTTCCAACTTTAAAAAAGCATGTAAATGTAAATTGTCATTCCTAAGTGTTGGCAACTTATATAACCCAAGTTAATCTGACTTGACAAAAGAGTCCTGTTTACTTAATAGAATTTAGGAAACCGATTGCCTTAGAAAAATAAAGTAAGCATAACAAAGAATTGTAAGTCAGCAGTACTTTTTTTATTTTAACAAAATACCATTCTGCACACCTCAGCCTAAAGAGTCTGTGGAAACACATACAATTTTACAAACAAAACATCCACATTTAAGACAATTGAAATATTTTAAAAGTCTTAAAACAAAAGTTTTAATCTAAGCCTTAGTCTTAATCTTTGTTCCTGACTTTGCTAAAGAATGGCTCATTTGGCACAGTTTATGTAACAAAAACAAATGTTCAATGATGTTTAATGCATTTAACTAAGCTCAAAGTTTCCACTAGCATAGCTATAAGTGCTGAACAAAAACTAAAAGGTGGCTGATAACATTGATGACTTCTGATGATCCCGAAATTTAACTGCATTTCAATGAACTGCATACTCAAGTCCAACTACTTCAGAACCTAACAACTATAATAATCAGAGAGCACAGCTGTGACCATCTGAACTTTGAAGAGAATTTAGCAAATTTAGCCAAAAAAAAAATCTCTCTTTTACTTCATTAAAACATAAAGGTAGTACATTTATACTATGACCCAATGCACAGTGCACTTTCTATCTGAAAAGAGAATAGAAATCCATCTCCTTTTTACTTTTATGTAGGCTTCAAATAATTTAACACTTTAAGAGTACTGTGTCCCACAAATAAAAGTAACTGAAACAAGATTAAAGAGTTAAAAAAAAAAACTCAGAAAGCAGGCACCGTGGTCTGTTTCTCCATTTCCAGAAGACTGATGAAATTAATTATAACACAATCAGGTTTTTACTTAGACTTAACAAGCTAATTTAGGTTAGATGGCCTTGAACATTCAACCTGTTTTACTCAAATGAAACATAAGACAATCAAAATCTGACTGACTGTAAATGTCAGTAAGAATCACACTGTGGCTTTAAGTTGTAAATATGTAAAAACACTGAACAGTCCAATCAAGTATCTAGGAATCTGCTATTTAAATATGCCAGCCGCACATACCTGCTGCCTACTGCAAAAGTGCATTTTTCAAGCTCTGAAGTTTTTAGCTCAGTTTACCTACTCCCAGGTTCAGCATCACCCTCTGAATGAAGTCAAAGGTGTTCTTTAGTCTTTTGGGATAGTCCAAATGAAGGTTATAAATTAGTCCAAAAGTCAGGCAAATAGCTTGAGCATGGCTTTCAATGTTATCCATAACGATGCTACCCTCCAGTATGATGCCAATGCTGGATGGCTCAAGGTGCAGGGCGTTTGGACCTGGTTGCTGGCTGTCTTCAGGCACAACAGTCAATATCCCAACAGGAATCTGGACGATATCTGTGACTGCATCTGAATCCTGCAGACAAAAATAAAGGTTTTAAATATCAGGTTTAATTTAAGGTTAAATTTATCCTTGCAAAGACCTTCATCGGTAAAACCGAAATCTTTTATGTAATACTTACAACAAAGACTTTAAAAAAATCACTGCCATCATCCCCGAGAAATACTGGAAGACAACGTAGGACAGCGGTCCGCATTGCTACAACATCATGGGTCTACAAATGAGGGAAGAACAAACCAAGAATAAGCATTTTCTCAAAGAAAAAAGGAGAAAAATGGCTTTTCCTTAAAAAATAATTGTGATTTTGTGTGGTTTGTTTTGTTATCAAGAAATCCTATTGTTGGTGTTTTCACCGTCTTGTTTAGCTTGTCTTTGCATTTGGGCTCCATTGTTTGGCAAAGACTATTAAAAAAGCAAGAAACATTACACAGCGCAACAATTAGTTAATTTGCTTTTAATATTTTTGGGAAAACAATGGTGCTCTATGACAGTTCATGGTCGGTTTTCATGTTAGTAATTTGTTGATAATGACAAAGCTATAGAAAAACTAACAAATCTAAACCTTAAAGGAAAAAACAGCTTCTTCTAAAAGACTTAATCTTAAAAAGACTAAATCTTAAAGAACTGGATCACTGTCATAAAAAGTAACAACTTTCACAATTCCTAAAATATCTTACCTTCATTTCAACCTGGGCAAGGATCTCTGCAAGTGTCCTGCCAACAATTCCTTTCTTGGATTTAAAGATCTCAAGTAATCGTGGGCTGTGGCGGTCCAAGGACTCAAAAAAGTCTTGTTCAAGATCTTTACTTGCCACCCTTGTGAACTCTGCAAAAACCTTTAAGCACAAAACACAAATACAGCTATAATTTGTTTTACACCACAATGTTTTGGTAGAAACAAAATGTTCACTGCTTATGTCATTTGTATGTTTTATTTTATTTACATTAAATACATTTGTTAACATACCTGCTGTTTTCTGAAAAGTGCTGGCCAGCGTTCCAACATGCGTTTCACTGGAGGCTGCTCTTCCACAATTTCTTTCCGTCTCAACGAGAAGGTCTGGTTCATCAGCTGACTCACAAGTGCTGCATTTGGTGTCCTTTTCTTCATTTCATTTTCAAGCAATTGTCTGGAGTTTTCCAGTGCTGATGCATCCTGACCCTGTGGGAAATTGGGCAGGAAGTTTGTCTCACTTCTCCTGGGTTTCTTCAGATTTTTTGAAGGTGGCTCTCCATCTGGATTCTGCCGTGTTCTCTTGTTACTATTGACTGACACATCCGCCATTCCACATCTACAAAGTTTGGAACGAAGATGACCCATTTTGAATTTTAAACTATTCTTCCATCCGTGGCATCCTGTGCTTGACCCTGGCTCAGCAAGGCAAGGGTGCTTAGAAATGAGTGCCTTAGCAACTTCAGTAAAGTGTTCATCTTGTGGATAAGCAGAGTACTTGTACATCTCCTCAGCAAGTTTCTGCAGGATGTCATGTTTCATGTCTCGTGAAACTGACATGAGTTTGCCATCTCTCATGTAAATTTGGTTTCCCTGTCTCAGTCTATATTCAATATCCACAGAGAAAGAAGGCACCTCAAATGTAGAAGGCCAGTGTTCACGTAAGGTCAGCTCACTGCGAGGCAGTATCTCTGTGTCAGATGAACTGGCTGAAGACAGTGTACTTGAAGACAATGTTAAAATTACACTTTCCAGAGCGATAATCTTTAGAGTTGCTCTATTAGGCAATTCACTTATATCTGTGAGGTTGCGAAAAGCATTGTTGAAATCTGGGTCTTCATAATGAAGCATTAAGTCAAACTGCAGATTCAGCTGATTTTTCAACTTAGTTTTGAGTTCTTCCACGTTATGAGGTCTTTCACAGAGAGTTACTTTTCGGACGTCATTTTCACCAACTATTACCCTCACTGGCCAGGATTGGTCCATAGTTCTGTAAGAATGAAAATAATGACATCAGCACAAAATGTAATGCTTCAGAGCAACAAACAGTTTGCGCTTCACTCTGTAGACAGACAGGGGAAAGACATCATTGAAGTCTTTCAGTTGGGTTACAAGCAAACATGAACTTTTGCAGACTTCATATGATCTAAGGTGCTCATGATACCATGCAAACATCTGTCTACAAATAAACAAAACACTAGTATCCACAACCAAAATCTTCTGAATCTGCCTGAATTCTGTGAGGCCTGCACATGAGCCTACAGATACCATCATGTCAGCCGCATACTTAATACCATCTATGGTGACAGATGCTGCTGCAAGGACTGTGTTTTGAAGTGCACATCTTGCAAACAATTGCTGCTGCACACTGACTGGAAAGGAAGAAATTATGACATTCTCAACTTTGCCCAGCTCCAATGCTGGTTTAAAAAATGAAACAGAATCCAAATGGTAAGCCACCATCTTCTGATGCCTATCAGCTAATGTCAAAGGAACATTTTTGAAATTGTACGCTTGGAGAATGACTCTTTTGAAGAACTTGTGTTTCCCTTCGAACCTCATCGTCCACACATCCACAAGTGGTCCAAAGACTTGAATAAGATGGGGATAATGCTCCATGTAATGGTACTTGGGATGGAGTCTGTAACTTGGGAATGCCTTCTGAAGTAAAACCCTATGCTCGGACAACTTGAAATCCAGATAGTGGAGTGTCTCCTCAGTAAACCTAGTAGACATGACCAATTCAAGAACATCTTTCAAGCACATTATAACCTCCCATGACTCATCTCCCTCAGGGACATAGTGACCAATCAGCAGGGGAAGCAGTCTGATCAGGCTCCAATTTTCATGGCCATTACCCCCAATAGTCTC